TATGCAATTAACATGATCAGATCAACTCACAGGTCACAGCAGAGCAGAGAGACGATCAGAAAAGAAAATGCATGTACCAAGACCACCACGGAAACGAGCGAGGCGAAGTGCAAGAATCTGTCAGCAGCCATTGTCAAAGGCTTGAAGAACTCCCTCTATTCCAGAGCAGATCACAAGCAGGTGACAATCATGTAATGCACAAGGAGAGAGAGTATGGGAAGTAAAGTCAAACAAACGAGTACTACATGATGAGCATTTTTAGATGGATTTAGGACTTCACGAGTTGTCTAAAAAACTGATAAATCAGGTACGTTCGCCTCCTCCAGCTCCGCGTATGTGAACCTCGCCGGCAACCCGGGGATGAGGACCTCGTCGCCGTCGCCGTCGTCTTACTTCGCGCTGCTGGTCCTCGCTCACATACGACGCCTGCTGCGACGACAGCATCGGCAACTTGAACCAGCTGCGGTTGCCGCCTAGCTGTGGCCATGGCGCCGCCGCTCGCCCGCCGACGCCGTGTCGCCGCCGCCGCATCGCCGGCCGGCCGTCGGACCTCCTCGCCCTGCGTCGCAGCCGAAGCCGCCTCGCCCTACCGCCGCCCTCCCCTTTCACCTGTGTCTCCGCCGCCGCGTCGCCGGCCGACCGTCGGACTTCCTCGCCCCGTGTCGTAGCTGCCGCCGCCTCTCCGCCGCCGCATCCGCGGACACCGCCTCGCCCTGCCGCCGCCCTCCCTTTCTCCCGTGCCTCCATTGCCGCGTCGCCGGCCGGCCGTCGGACGAGTCCTGAGAGGAGTGAGAGAGAGAGAGAGAGGAGGAAAGGAGAGGAAGGGGAGAGGCCGGTCTGCTGATGTGGCATCCTGACATGTGGGGCCTACGTAGGTCCTACGATGACTCAGCCGCCACGTCAGACAAAACCGGGGTCAAAACCGCTAAGAGACCTGATTTGCACTGGTTTTGTAAGTTGGTGCGGTTGGAGGACGATTTTGTAACTCGATGATAAGTTGAGGGACCTTCGGTGTACTTTTTCCTGTAATCAAACACGCTTCCTCACTTTATGAAAGGGGCGGATGTATATTAGTATCATTGGTCTCAGATGACACAGATGCCATCCAACCAATCCAGTGTATTGCTAGCATTTATACACACTTACCCCGACAGTGCAAGCTTGTTGACCCCAACCGCTAAATTGCAGCTGCTCAGAGGCTAAACAATATAGCTCCATCTTTGAAAACTTAAACAGTTTAACTGGTGTGGTAGGTGTTGGAGCCTGAATCTATTTTCCAACATCCTTCCTATTTCACATTATAAGATCTTTTAGATTTTGAATAGATTCATTCATACATCCATATGTGCTACATATATATGTTTAACTTCATATGTATGTTAGAAAATTTAGACAAGAGATAAAAATACCATAACGTTTATAACATGAAACGGAGGGACTATATGTTTTGGTACCGTCAGCCACCACTAATGTCACAGTTTAAAATATTTGATCCGTTGACTATAATTATTTCTTTTAGCTAATGTTTCTATCCATGTAATTAGGCCAATAATTCTATTATCAACTATTAAAAGTTAACCATATTTTTACGTATTAGTGAAAACAACTTGAATAACTTGTTGTCTGACCAAAAGAATAAAGGATTTGTATTTCTTATTACTCTTAAGAGTTAGTCTGAAATAAACATGCTCATTGAAACAACAGCAATATTCTACCGGCTCTAGCTAAAAATAACAGTTCAAGGACACCTTAGCTTACAAAATATTTAGAAATGAAGCCCTTCCAAACACTATATAAGTATAAGTGAGTGCTGACATTGGTGCCCTAAAATCCTAGATCAGCAAGGGAGTCCAAGTCAAGATGGAGGTCCACATCAAGTCGATTTCGAGTACGTTTCAGAGTCCAGGACCAATCTACACTAAAACGGGTGTCCAGGTCGCATATGTGCTCGGATTGGAGCGTTCTTTATATGGATGGAAAGTTAAGAAGATAACCTTTTCAATGGTTCTGGTCCCATATCCAAATTCTTTTCGAGTCATTGGGAATCGACCGAACAAGTTGATGTTCAGAATCTATTCCGATGCTGCGTCGCCGTATTTTGGTCTTTGGGCCGTGTATCGTGTTGGAGCTCGTTAGGATTGCGTCGTCAAGGGTTATTTGCACGACCCTAAACTCTATATATTAGTAGTTGTCACCACCTTTAGGGTTTGGGTTTTGCTTAGATTAATCTGTCAAGAACAGTTTCGCCAACCTTCGGTTTGTAAAACCCCAACTTGTGAGCTTAATCATTCATGCACAATTTGGTTGTATTCTTTCTTGTTCTTGTTTGTGTGTTCCTCAATTCACAAACAGAGATTAGCCTTATCGGCGAGGTCAACTGGTTTTCGACACGGTTGATAATCAGAGGAGACATGGTGCTGTGACTGCGGGGCTCAAGAGCGTGTTTGTTTAGAAGCCGGATCGATTTGTGTCGCGACTCCACCAAATTGACTGTTTATCAGAACCTCTCGAAAGATCGGAAACCCTTGTCCACATCACTTTATGAGGATGCATGATAAGCATATAGAAAAATTCTAACAGAAAGATTAAAAAAAATGAGAATTTCCAAAAATACCGTGAACACTATTACTAAAACTAGGAACTAGGAAGGTAACCCGTGCAAATGCGCGGGCGCTTTATTTAATGTTGCTTGAAATTTTTATTACGAATGGTTATATGTGGTTGACTTATTCTTGTAATATTCGTTAACTCTATTCTAAATCTATCTTTATCAATAATTTGTTTGGAATTAATTTGTATGTTGATTATTAATTTCTTCTAATTACCCTTGCAACATAGAAAATTATGAACTAAAATTACTTAAAACCGTACCAGCTTGAATTTATAAGAAAATATTATGTCAAAACAATTGAGTTGGTTCCTATGAAACTAACATTCGTACTATTTGTATATCTTTTTGGAATATTTAGCATATCTTAGGATGTATTAATTGAAGATATTTTCTATTAAAAAAATATGGTTAATAAGACTATTTCATATAATTAAAAGCAGACTTCTATTTACTATTACTCCATCCTTTTTATATGCTTTCGTATGTTCTTTGAAAAATGAATTTAAATTGAAATAAGAGCACAATTAAATAAATATAATTGGTAGACGTACAGAATTTATAAATGTTTAAGTGTTGCAGACTCAAGTACACTTTTGTTGGTAATTTATTATTACGAAGTTGTCATATATAGGAGGGCAGATCCAGGGGTGGTCCCGGTCCAAAAATAACCCTAGCCCAATGCATATAAACATATGTGAAAAGAAACTTTTGGAAAAAGGAATAAAACTTCATTATTAATATATTATGATGTACATTTGATCAATTTAGAGTTATAACCATGTTATGTTTAAAGTATTTAAAAAATTGTATAATTTGGATCACCCATATCAAAAATCCTAGTTAATTCATTGATGGGCTGAGTAGACATTTTAAGCATATTTATATGGTGATATAATCCATGTTATTAATTTTTTTCATGATTTTTCATAATTCTCTAATGTCATGTAAAGCACCAAGATAGGCCATATTACTTGTTTGCATTATAAATCTAATTTAGCCGTGAATATTTGTGAACTGATAATGAGTATATAGTAATATACTCCATATTTTACTCTCTCCATCCCAGAATATAAGAAGTTTTAGAGTTGGACACGGTTATTAAGAAAGTAGGTGGAATTAAATAGAGAGATGTTATTGGCTGAGAAGTGGAGGTAGGTGAGAAAAGTGAACGGTGGAGGGTTGAGATTGGTTTAGAAGTGAATGTTGGGCCGAGTTTAGTTCTAAAATTTTTCTTCAAACTTTCAACTTTTCCAACACATCAAAACTTTCCTACACACACAAACTTCCAACTTTTCCGTTACATCGTTCCAATTTCAACCAAACTTCCAATTTTGGAGTGAACTAAACACACCCTTGGTGAAGAAGTTATATTTTGGGACAAATCATGAGTACTAAAAGTTGTTATATTTTAGGACAGAGGGAGTTATATTTTTCATAATTTTCATGTCCACTTGGATTGCATAAGCGCAAACTTGGATAACATGCAAAAATGTAGAAGTATGGTACGTACACAAGTTATTCTTTTATATTGATATATTCATGGTTGAATTTATTTTTTTTATCTGCTTCGATACTATCAATCTAATTTAGACTTGTAAAATGTTCACAACAATATATAATTTCTACCAATTTAAATGTTTTATTGCTGTTTGGTTGCTATGCAAAGAAAGGGTTCTATGTCCAAACTACGTATTTTCGTATATAGCAAAATAGGAGCAATATTAATCTCAAATTATTAGTTTAATTATAAATTTAAAACAATTTTAAAAATAAAAACAAGAGTTATTGCTTAAAGTTTCTGTTCATTTAACTATCTAGTTATTCATAGAAGTGTTTTTCATAGAAGTGTTTGATATAAAATAAGAGATAGAAAAGGGAACTGCCCATACGTATAGTTTTGTATATGCGTGATTACGTACAGGAGGGAGATTCGTACGTACGCGGAGGTAGAGGTGGAATTGAGGGATTGTATATGCGTGTATATGCGTGATTGTTGGGATTATTTTATTAATTGATCCAATGGTTGAAAATGATGGGTCCATAAATTTTAAGTAAAATTGAGGGATGGATGTTTTTCTTTTTTTCTCAGATTTTTTCTAATTTAGTAGAGTGCCACGTGGCGACTTAGGAGCATTTGTAGGAGGCTACGTGGCGGCTTTAGAGCGTTTATAGGAAGTTTAATGGACTTTTAGTATATAATAGAAGATAGATAGATAGATAAAATAGATAGATAGATAGATATAGTTGGTGTGTTTGACCCTAGACAGGGTGGTAGTGTGCACGCAGGACGCATCAGCTGGCGGCGATGGTGGCATGGGGTTGCTAAGCTAATTTGACCGCTGAAAGTGATGGAAAGCAAGCAAGCAAGTCAGAGTTGCCATCTCCAATCGGTCTCCTTATCCCCATTTTTCTCTCTGTGCTGTACTACAGTGGAGTACCACGACTGTGTATGTGACAGCTTAGCTAACTCAATGATTAAAATCTCGCCAGATCCCTCCTGCGTTATCAATCCACTGAGAAGTAAGCGAACGAGATCGCCTGGGCCGGCTCGTCGGAGAAGGCTCACACGCGACGCGCGCCATGGCAGCTGCAACCGCAGCTGATGTTGCCGAGGATACGGCCAGTGTGTACTCCGGCAAGCTTACCCTCTACGTCTTCCTCACCTGCGGCGTCGCGGCGACCGGCGGCCTCATCATCGGCTATGACATCGGCATCTCTGGTAAACATGCGATTTATCTCATCTATCTTTTAGTATATATGTACTGGTTAGAGGGAATTATACGCATGGTGACTTGTAGTGGGAGAAAAAAGCATAGGAGAAAAGAGCAGTGCTAGCCTTTGCTTATACAGACTTCATGCAAAAACTCTTAAGATAATCATTTGGACCTTCTATATCTATGCTATTTCTAAAAGACATTCTACCACCACCACCACTGATACGTGGACCATGGTGTTCGTATAAGTTGAGTGCTTGGTCAATGTTTGTCTCATTGTCTGTACTTTTGTGGAGTAGCTGTGTGCTTTTTACTCTTTATAGCTAGTCTTGCATTACTCTGTGAGCTGCAAGTCTTTATTTTTCTATTAATTTACTTCTTGCCATCCTAATTAAAAGACCTCACAATTTAATTTAGGTTTCCATTAATAGGCAACACAATTTATTGACGAGTACATATTTTAACATCATATCAAATGACATCTTGTTAACATGATTGGAGTCATTGATCTATACTGAAAACTAATAATGACATTTATCCTTTTGTTTGTTAAGACCAACAAATTAATACTTTCAACAGGGATACCTTTTGCTATTTTGAATAAATCGTTGCAAAGCACGGATATTTGGCTAGTTCCTACTGAATATATCTGTTGATAACTTGATATCGATGATCAGCATGTCTACACTTCTTTATGTGGTTAAACCTTCGAGGTAAACTCAGGTCGGCTGATCCGGAGACTCTAGCCGGTTGAGTAGTTCAGAATTGCTCCTGATCGAAAACTGTTCAATTGCTTTCGAAAGATGACCATTTCTTGAAGTTGGTGTTTACAGTACAAATTACCTACATTTACACATCCCTTAAACTATAAATTTGAAAAAGTATACTATGATTACATTGTTAATTTTAAAAATTAAGCTATGTTTTCTCTAATACACAATATATAAGAGATTAATTAACTAATTTAGAAGAGAAGATTGGCTTGATACAAACATACTTACATATATATAAAGAAAAGACTGAAATCAATTAAGTAATAAAAGTGGTGCCAAATTTTAGCAAAACTAGCTAGTATAATGAGTGTCGACATTCAGGTGGTGTGACATCGATGGACACGTTCCTGGGGAAGTTCTTCCCGTCGGTTCTCCACCAAGAACAGACGGCGCAGGGCACAAGCCAGTACTGCAAGTTCAACAGCCAGCCGCTGACCGCGTTCACCTCGTCGCTGTACCTCGCGGCGCTCGTGGCCTCCTTCTTCGTCGCGTCCTTCACGCGCGCGCTGGGCAGGAAGTGGTCCATGTTCGGCGGCGGCGTCTCCTTCCTCGCCGGTGCCACCCTCAACGGCGCCGCGCGGAACGTCGCCATGCTCATCGTCGGCCGCATCCTCCTCGGCATCGGCGTCGCCTTCTGTGGTCTGGTAAGTCGTTGGAGAAATCAAATTAGACACACATTGGCAGCATCAACACAACACATTTTGACAGATCGTTCTTGAATGTGTAGTCCACTCCGATATACTTGTCTGAGATGGCGCCACCGCGGCTGCGTGGCATGCTCAACATCGGCCTCCAGCTGATGATCACCGTGGGCATCTTCTCCGCCAATCTCGTCAACTACGGTGCGGCCAAGATCAGGGGTGGCTGGGGGTGGCGTGTCAGCCTCGGCCTCGCTGCCGCCCCGGCATGCGTCATCGCCGTGGGCTCGCTCTTCCTCCCGGACTCACCGAGCTCCCTCATCAACCGTGGCCGCCACGAGCAGGCGCGGCGGGTGCTGCGGCGCATCCGTGGCACCGACGAGGTGGACGACGAGTACGGCGACCTCGTCGCAGCAGCCAGCGAGATCGAGGTGTATTCCGGCTGCTCCGCGAGACGACGGCCGTGGCGCGACGTCCTGCAGCGCAGGTACCGGCCGCAGCTCGCCATGGCCGTCCTCATCCCCTTCTTCCAGCAGCTCACCGGCATCAACGTCATCATGTTCTACGCGCCCGTGCTGTTCAAGACCATCGGCCTCGGAGGAGACGCGTCGCTCATGTCGGCGGTCATCACCGGGCTGGTCAATATCGTTGCCACGTTCGTGTCCATCGCCACCGTCGACAGCCTTGGCCGACGCAAGCTCTTGTTCCAGGGAGGCTGCCAGATGCTTGTGAGCCAGGTACACACAAATATATATAGAAGCTGATATATATACACCTATGACCTACTCCCTCTCTGTTCATATTATTAGTCACTTTTTTCCTAGTTAAATTTAGTCAAACTTTGATTAAATTTATAGAAAAAATTAGCAACATTTTAAACACCAGAGTAGTTTCATCGAATCTAGCATTGAATATATTCTGATAATATATTTGTTTTGTGATAAAAGTGCTTCTATATTTTTCTAACATAAAGAAGTTTGGCTAGAAAAAAAGTCAAGACATATCGAGTGCCTGCAAAAAAAAAAAAATGTATGCATGCATGCTTATGATCGATTCCTACAGGTTATCATTGGAACGCTGATCGGTGTGGTGTTTGGTACGAGTGGCGATGGCAACATCTCGAGGGCGTTGGCGGTCTGCATCGTGGTGTTCATCTGCGTCTACGTCGCCGGCTTCGCTTGGTCGTGGGGCCCGCTTGGCGTCCTCCTGCCGAGCGAGATCTTCCCGCTGGAGGTCCGGCCGGCGGGGCAGAGCATCAGCGTGGCCGTGAACATGCTCTGCACGTTCGCCGTCGCGGAGGCCTTCCTCCCGATGCTCTGCCACATGAGGTTCGGCCTCTTCTACTTCTTTAGCGGATGGGTGCTCGTGATGACGCTCTTCGTCTCGGCCTTCCTGCCTGAGACCAAGGGCGTGCCGATCGAGAAGATGACCGTCGTGTGGAGAACGCACTGGTTTTGGGGTAGATTTTACTGTAACCAGGATGCAGATGCACACGTTCAAGTGGCAAACAGCAAAGTTTGAAATGCACAATGCCACTGCTGTCTGATTTTATACAGATGTAGCAAATGTGAGATGCGTATTTTGGGACTGGTTAATTTGCTGCTGATATCCAGCATGCGCATCTCGAAGTAGCGCGGAGCAAAGTTCAAATATCCATAGGAATCTCAAAGCAATGGTTTTGTTTATCGACGTTTTTAGGAAAGCTCACACCCCACTGGTAATAGGAAAAAAGACCAATTAATGGTGTTATGCGATCATAGGGGGTGAGCGCGTATATATATATGAACGCTTACGTCCGTACTGTATTTCGAACACAAAAAGACAAATGGAATGGCGTGAAATTAAATTCTGAATCAGCTAGGAACTGCCGGAAAGATAACAGGCATAATATGATAGCCTAGTTAAACCAAAATGTATGGATGGGTTTGTCGCGCGATTCCTGTAGTTGTTAAGGATTGCAAGAATGAATTTCTGAATATAAACACAATGTCGTAAATATAAAAAGCCAGAATTGTATTTCCCTAATACAATTAATTGTTTGAAGCAACAATGGGAAATAGATATAGATATTATATATAGATTGATGGTCACATTAACTTCAATGAAAATTTATAACACAAATATGATGCTTAGCGCTACTGATCGATGTTCCTTTTGTATCTGAAATTCCATAAACTCACCAAATGGGGGAGGACCAGAGGAGGAAAAATCATCGAATAATAAGACAGACCGAGACTCAAGAATATAATCTATGAGTGATAAAGGATGCCGGAGCTGTAGAGTCTATGAGAACCAATAATCTAAATCTTACCAGTGGGTATGTACCATGCTTGTTGGGCACGGCCATATATAGCTTCATTATTTGTTTTTGTTTTTGTTTTTGTTTTTTTTTTTTGCCTGTGGGCACGCCTCAACCAAGCTCGAATCCCAGCAGGCGTGGCGTTTGCATTATGCCTGTGGATAACACATGCCTTTTGCTCATCCCTGTATCTTGTCCCATTTGTCCCATCTAATCATTTTTTTAGATATAATAGAATAGAATATCTTGACTTTTGCTCAACGAGTTACAGCCAATTATTACAACATATAATTACATAATGTAATTATCATGACATGACATGATATGCGGTATATATACTTGACATGGAATGTAACCCTAAATCAATTCCCGTTCTATTTTCTATCCACTCACTCCTCTCCATGCCACCGTGGCGGCGCTCATCATGTAAACTAGATGATTCCCCGCGCTTTACTGCGAAAATTCCTAAGTAACTTTTAATATATTTTTAATAATCGAGCTAAAAGTAAAAAAGTATATTAGTTATTAATAACAAATAAAACTGGGTTGTCAAACTATGTTAAGAAAGAAATACATTTAGTAGACCTTGTATGAGATTATATATGAAATATGATATCCCGCACTTTGATTATAGGGGCAATTGTATATTTGACAAGCTAACTACCAATTTGATCCTATTTTTTTAAGTTTGCTTTTTTGACCCTACTTTTTAACTATGGACATCAGACATGACCCCATTTCGTGAAACCAATTTGACGGTGTTAATTTGAGGTCGAAATACCGTTTATACCCTTGCTCATTTGACCCTGTTATCTTAGAGTTTTTGTATATTTAACCTAATTTTATACACTTGGTGTACATGATGCAATTTCTAAAAAATTTCACTTGGAATTGATATGTTGTGTGTGAATTTGAATTAGATTTGAATTTTAGCCAAAAAAATACAATTGGGAATACAAATCAGATCGCCACACAAATGGATCTAGAACAATATGACAGCATTGATTCAAATCCATTTTCAATACAATGCCTTTACCACTGATTGTTAACAGAGGCTTCTCAGAAGAAGAAGAACAAAAAGTTGTTTCGAAAAATTCGAGTACCGGCCACACTTCAGTATCCATAGACATAGATAGTATCAACATGCAAAGAAATCCTTGCCAAGAACATCATCCAACAATAACATTTCAACAAAAATTTCCTCAAGTCTGGCACCGGCGCATCCAGACACCGCCGCCGCTCCCTCCACGTCCCACCGCCGCCGCCGTCGTCACTCCCTCCACCGCAAGCCGGCGCCGATGTGGATCCATGCCCCTCCGCTGCCGCCACCGCTCCCTCCACGAGTCGGCACCGACGCGGATCCGTGCACCACCGTGTCCCGCCGCCGCCACTCCTTCCCTTGACGAGCCAGAACCGGCGCGGATCCGTGCCCCTCTGCCGCCGCCGCCGCTCCCTCCCTCCACGAGCTGGAGCTGGCGCGGATCCGCGCCCCTCCACCGCCGCCGCCGCTCCATTGACGAGCCGGCACCGGTGCGGATCCGCTTCCTCTGCCGCCGTCGCCGCCACTCCTTCCCCCACGAGCCGGCGCCGGTGCGAATCCGCGCCTCTCCGCCGCCACCGTTGGTCCCTTCCGTGTGCCGCCGTTGTCGCCCCTCCTCCTCGTCGTCGGCCGCCGCCACCGCTCCTCCTCTTCATCAAGCTGCCGCCATCTCTCCCATGCCGCCGCCGCTCCTCCACCTCGTCGGGCCATTGCCGACACTCCTCTTCATGTAGCCACCGCCGCGCGGCTGCCGTTGCACGAGGAGGGCGGCGGGAGGAGGTAGGGAGAGGATAAGGATTTCCAGTCTGGTGAGAGAGAGGAGAGGGAGAGGATAAGGGAAATGTTTATGTGTGCAAGGGTATTTTGGTCACTTGTGGCTCAAAAAACATTTTTTTTCTATTTTATAAATGAAACCCTAACGGTGTCAAAAATGAAACCAAGGTCAGACGGCAACTCCAATTTTGAAAAGTAGGGTCAAATAAGCAAACTGTAAAAAGTAGAGTCAAATTAGTAGTTATGCTTCAAAACATGGTCAAAGGAGCAATTGTCATGGATATATGTTAAGGATTAAAAAAATGATGGATATATATATTTTAAAAATATTGTGAAAAATAATGTGAAGGAAAATGATTTGTAGAATTCAATGAATTCTAGATGATGTTGCATACTTGTATAAGTTTTGCATGTTATTATTGCTAATGGATGATGAAGTGACATGTTTGCATTTTGAGCTTTAGAATTAGTGAGTTATAACTTTATAGTAAGATAGGATATTTACCTCTTAATTGTTAAATGCCTGTGCTGCATGAGTATATGAACATCCAACCACATCAAACTTTTGATTGAATTTTTAGTGAAAAACAAAGAAAACGAGTAATAACTATTATTAGATGATTCAGGTCACAATGGTCTTGGCTTGATTCAGCACATATATAAGATAGAAAGTGTCATGTAAAGTATAGTCACGCAGAGGGGAAATTAAAACACAAAGAAAATAGCATACAAAAATCTTGCGTCGAATTAATCCAAGTTTGCAGAATCAGCAGAAGATCCAGTGCCGATGACCCCAGGCGGCCACCAGTGCTTGCCGACGAATCACACCACTAAGATGCATAACTTGTTTTCCCAATGGTTACTGACGTCTAAAATTGTTTGTACACATGTTTTACCCAAGCTCTCTAGAAAATTTCTAAATCACCCGTTGGTTCAGATGATAACAAGGAGAAGAAATGAAACTTCTGAACCCAAATTATATTGTTTAGCCCAGATTGTTCTCCATTAGTTTTAATTGTTAACTTATATAATATGAATACACAGAAAACATTATAATCATGCATTAAGTGATCATAAGTTTTTACTGATCTGCACGTTTGTAGCTGGAGGCACACTTTGTTTTAGTCAGCACGAGTCCGAGTCCCATGGAATGGACCGATTGTGTGGGATCGATGAAGCACAATGTACGGGTGGTTCATGGCGCACATGTAGGTGGCATCGAAAGACTACTATTTTTAGTCGTTCCTTTTTTTCTTCTTAAATAGAGAAGCGCTGCAAAGTTTGGTGGCACAAATCGTTCGTTTTGCTTTTTCTCTCCGCTTTCATCTTCTAGGAGTTCATCCAGGTGTTCAGGTGTGTTAGATTGGCTTGGAGTGGTGACAACTGGTAGCAGAGCAATGTCATCTCCACTTGCCGGTTGTTCCTGGTATGTCGAGGGATACTGGTGCTGACATTGCTCTGATACCAATTGTCGGCACTCTAGGCCAATCATACACACTTGACTACCGAGACGAATACTTGGAAGACTAAGGCGGAAAGGAAAAACAAAACGATAATAAGAAAATGCTGCAAAGTTGGATGCATAGACAATGCATCAACAACATCACACTCAATGGGGTGCGGCAAGAGATGTAGTTGCCGGTGCACTTCCTCCTCATGTTTAGCTGCATCAGGCATGCAAAGATTGTACAGCCACAAAAAAAAAACCTTGATGGTTGGAGTATATGGTGATGTGGGACATCGTCTTCGATGAGGGAGCTCGGAGGGACTAAATCTCGGAACCTAATTGAGGTATGCCAAACAGTACCTCGTGCATGTAGACGAAGTGTTTCTTGTATCACTAGGTGTAGGTAGCTTAGCCTATTCATGTCATCCTTGATTAGTTTGTCTTATCCCTGAACTTCTCCCTCACCTCCGTTTGGGCTTTCTGCATGACTTGTGGATATTTCTCATTAGCTCAGATATTGCCCACTAACGTGTCGTTGAGCTGTCTCGCTCCCTGCTGAAAATATTTCCTGAGATTAATAGGCAATTTGTAATGGTGACTTTGCCAAATGGTCATTTTCAATTGTAATTCTGAAAACGATAATGCTGAAAATGCAGTACAGTGCTGTGAATTTCCAGAGTGATTTTTTTTTCTGTAAGTGTCGTGAGTTCGTAAATTGTCCATGTTGAAAAATGTTTCGGCCGGCCTACCGCAGCGCGCGAACGCTCCGGCTGCAACGCTCGGCCGGCCTACCGCAGCGCGCCGCTGAGCCAGCTCGCTGGCGACGACGATGGGTACAGGTCGGCCAAGTTGAACCCGCCCGCGAGCCTGACGGAGACCTCGAGCTTGTACGTGGAGGAACTCGTCGCGCCGCGCGCACCGGCTCCCGATGGCGGGGCGCACGACGGAGTCGTTCACCATGCGCGAGATCTTCTCGCTGATGGGGACCACGGCGCCGGCGCCACCCGGTGCGCACTCGCCGACCACTGCGTGGACTAGGTACCCCGCCTGCTAGTCCTAACGGACGTGGCGAGGCGACTGGACGCGGCGCGCTAAAGAGCTCGAGTAGGCAGATGTATAGATGGTCATATGGCCCGAGGCCTGATGGCCCGTCCAAGGTCCGGTGATTTTGGCCTGGGGCAGGCATGGCACGGCCTGACTTGGGTCGTGCTCGCGGTGGCCCGGCCCATTGTGCTAGGGCTGGTACCTCAGCACGCTGGACATGCATGGTTCAGCCCGAAGTTAAGGGATGCGAAATAGACTTATTCTCAGCCATATGTAAGGCACGTCACAGAGAATAGGGAGAAAAAAATAGACATATTATATGGCACGACCCATAGAGTAGGGATATAAAATAAACTTATTTTAGCTATATATATGTCACAGCCAAAAAAAGAGAGAAAATAGACTTATTTTAAAAAAGACATAATAGGCCGCCTGTGCCTTCAGGCCGGCACGGCACGACCCGACAACTGGTGGGCTGTGCCTGGGCCTGGTGTGCAGCCCATGGGCCAGCACGGCACAGCCTGAAGTGTCGATCGTGCCGTGCCGGCCCGATCGCCTTGGCCCGTGCCGGGGCCGAGGCGTGCCGTGTGGGCCTTATGGCCATCTATAGGCAGATCCTTCGGAGCTAGCACCACATGTCACCATGGGGCATAGGGAAAGAACAGTGTATCGATTACGAGCCATTATAGACGAGGGGTCATATGTAATGGCTTCTAGTTTTGTATCGTTAGAGATAAAAGTGATTACATCTGTAATAGCTGTTGGTTAAGAGCCGTTACAGAAGAGGAGGCTTCAATGATGGCTCAAGGGTGCTTTGGTCATCTATAACGGTCATCAATGCCATCCGTTACATAAGTCAAAATTTGTAACAGTTTTAACCGGTCCATGGCACATTATAGATGTGAGAATCCGTGCTACTGAATAATAGTGATAATGTACAAAGACATACTAATTTACACAGGTTTAGATTTATTCGGAGAGAGGTATACTTACAAAATAATTAATTGTCATCATAAAATGGTGCACACTTTTATCATATATCAAAATTACATATTTTTGGTACTATCTAGTTCAAATCAATACATTTCACATCACTCACCCTAGGGTGACATTATCTATAAGTAACCAGAGAATTAAGTTTAGTCTACCAGATAAAGAGGAGCCATAAGAGCATGGAGAACGTGCCTAGTTATGCAAGAGTTCACATACACAAAACAGTTAACCCAAACATGGAATACGTTGTGTAGCATACACCATGAGCTTCGACTTCCTCTTTGCAGTGATACCAAATGTCTCGGACAAGTCAATCTCGTCATTCCTGTCTCGATCGAGGAACTCCCAGTCAAAATGGTATAGGAGGCTGGCAAGCATGAGCTCTATATTGGCAAGCCCAAGTGCAATCCCAGGGCATATCCTCCTCCCAGCACCGAAAGGAATGAACTCGAAATCTATACCCTTAAAGTCGACACGATTGTTCTCGAACCTTTCTGGTTTGAATACCTCGGGATCATCCCAATACTGATTGTCCCTAGCTATGGCCCAAGCGTTCACAAGCACTTTAGTTCCCACTGGTATGTCATAGCCCATAACCGAGCATGGCTCACGGCACTGCCTAGGAAGAAGGAATGGTACCGGTAAATGTAGTCGGAGTGTTTCCCGAATCACCAAGCGGAGGTAGCTTAGCTTGTCCATCATTTCCTCTGTTAGCTTGTTTTCTCCCCTAAATATCTCCCGCACCTCTGATTGGGCCTTTTCCATGATGTGTGGGTTCCTTACTAGCTCTGTTAAGGCCCACTCAAGTGTCGTAGACGAGGTTTCACTCCCAGCCGCAAACATGTCCTGTGGTTTTGTAAGCAATAATGAGTTCACAGAGTAATCATTTGGATTTGAAGCAATGATGAATTCTTCATTTCTCTAGAAGAAATAGGTAAGCATCATTGTCTAAACTGCAAAATGCAAACAAATTCAAAATGTAGATCTGATGATGTTACTAGTTGCTACTCCCTCCATTCCAAAATATAAATATTTTTAAAATAGTGCTAAGTCAAACATTTTCGACTTTGACCATTAATAACAAAATAAAAAAATAAAAAATCAATAATGTAAAATTGATGTTGCTAGATTTATTATTAAACAAACTATCATAATATGCAACTCTTTTTATTTAGATAATCTTACTTTTATAAATGTTGTTGGTCAAAGTAGCATCTTAAATACTGTGTTGAGGTCCAAAAATGCTTATATTTTGGGACGGAGGGAGCAGTAAGTTTGATACTAGCGTTTAATTGTTTCAAAATTAACTGGTATAATTATGTACCTAATATGGAATAGTACTGCACCTAAAATACACAAAATCAAATACTACTTCCGTTCCAAAATATAATAATTTTTAGCTATAATTAGGACGCATAGTTATTCAGATTTATAGCTAGAAATACTTATAATCGCTGGACTGTTTTCGTGGATGTGTGCGTACGGTGCATGTGCATAGTAGGACATGTCTTCTCAGTGGCGGAACTGGGCCTAGGTAACTTGGGCCCGGGCCCTACTCGTGAAAAAAAAATTAGTACCTATACCTTGTGAATTTTTCGATGATGGTGTGTAAAGAAATATCAGATGATGGTGTGTTTAATTACCAAGACGACGTTAGTGATCAAATCGGTGGTGAGGGGACACTGCACATCGCCGTTCCTCTGCAATCTGAGGAGTACGCCGAGGAGGTCTTCCTCGCCGTCGCCGTGCTCCCGGATGATGTCGTCCATGATGGCCATCAAGCTCCGATTGCACCGCTCCGTCTCCCGCATCGCGCCGCTGAGCCGGCGCGCCAGCCACGACGACGGGTACAGGTCGGCCAGGTTGAACCCGCCGGAGAGCCTCACCGACTCGTCGAGCTCGCGCACGAACTCGTCGCGCCGCGCCGACCGGGCGCCGACGGCGGATCGCACGACGGAGTCGTTCACCGCGCGGGAGATCAGCTCGCCGACGTTGACAACGGCTGCGCCGCCGCGGGCGGCGCACTCGGCGGCGACGGAGCGGACGAGGCGCGCCGCCTCGTCCTCGCGCCCGTGGCGGAGCGACTGGACGCGGCGCGCGCTGAGGAGCTCGTGCACGCAGATCCTCCGGAGCTGGCGCCACAGGTCGCAGTAGGGGGAGAAGAGGATGTCGCGGCCGCCGCGGCTGAGGACGGCCAGGGTCGGCGTGAGGTAGCGGCTGGCGAAGGCGGCGTCGTACGTCTTGAGCACCTCCCTGGCGGCCTCGGCCGACGACACGACGAGCGTCGGCACGGCACCGAAGCGGAGCATCATGAGCGGGCCGTACTTGCCGGCGAGCTCGCGCAGCGCCCTGTGTGGCAGGTCGGCGTGGCGCGACAGCAGGACGTGGTGCAGGCTCCCGACGAGCGGCAGCTGCCACGGCCCCGGCGGCAGCCGCAGCTTCTTCTTCTCCTTCTCCGGCGGAGGCCACCAGGAGCGGCATGAGTTCTTGATGTTGACGAGGACGAAGAGCAGGAGGAAGGCGAGGACGACGCCGATCAGCAATGGCAGTGATACCTCCATCTTGCAATTTCTCACTATGGCTGTCGCTGTCGCTGCTGCTCCTCCGTCTCAAGAAGGACTCCTTCGCCGTGTTGTGAAATTTTCAGCAGAGGTGACGAATTACGAAGTGGACTCGCTCTTGGCTTCTTTGAAGCGATTGCTACCCAATCTTAGTTTTTGGGTGTCGTCTTCCTCCAGGAGAACGGGAGAAGTGTGGGGGTTTCTTGTTCGCAGAATCGCAGCGTGGAAATTTACTCGTATTTGTGGGCGCGTGCTCTGCTCTAGCGAACGTGACGGTGACTAGTATTTGTTTGTTCATGTTTTCGCTTTCACTGCTTCAAACAATTATGAGGGTTCCAAGGTAACGTGTGGTTTGTAGCATCCCGAATTCCATTCCCTTATTGTTTAGCTCTAGCTAGCATGGTGCACTATCGTATATATATATTTTTTCTCACGTAGCATTATGTATTTTTTTATGTTTTATTATAATTAAAATATATTAAAATCCTAACATAATTTTAAATTCTATACTAACCTGACAAAACTAATCAATGCGTAATATTCATATTGTATTATGGTAGAAAAAAATGCTCGTGCATTGCAACAGGTGAAGACGTTTTTTTAGTGGTACAATAGCTATTAAGAGCTGAACAATAAATTGAAACATTGAAACATTAGGATTGTTACATATACATTATAATTGAAAAAAATTAATGGCCATTCATTCTTGGTTTTGGGCCGAAAGCCCATTCCTTCCTTTTTAGCCCGAGGCTAGTCCACTATCTCCCTCCGCTTGGCCATCCTCTCTCTTTGTCCGAGCAACCGAGCCTATAGTGGAGCCGCCTGTCCAGCTTGCACAGCAACTGTCGTCTTCAACCTCCGAAAGACAGTCCTGAGCCTCTATGCCAGAGTCGATCATCTCCATCAAATCCAGCCGAATCCTTCTCAATCTCCCAAAATTGGTTTAGGGCTTTTGATCCACTCAATCTCGTCTTCCCCCTTTTTCCCCCCAAAAACGAAGCGAAACTCGGGATAAAAACAGCTATGAAAGCTCGTTGGCCAGCCATCATCGGCAACTAAAATTAAATCCGGCAAATTAAAGACGAGTTGAAATGGGAAATCATGAGGAAAATGATGATGATGATTGGGGAATCGATTTTTGCAATCAATTGGAAGAAAAAAAAACAATCCACAAAATTGTTTTTGTGGGCGAGAACGCACCACAACCATCGTTCTTGTGGGATGGTGACACCGCCACAACTCATTCTTGTAGTTTTGACACTCAAGTAACTTGAGATGCAAGAGGAAGAAGGAAATGCTCAAATTTGAGACAAGATCATGAAAGAAACTATAGGAGGAGGAGAAACACTCAAGAGCAAACTACTGCAACTTGGTTCGGGGCAATGAGAGCTAGCAATGGTCATGGGGTAGCTTTTATAGGGGAGAGCCACCCCTGGTTCGGCCGAGCCAGGGGGTTGGCCGACCCCAAGTGGGCACCTATGCTGCCCTCTATTCAAGGTAAGAATAATGACACCCTTGTTGAAGGAAAACATGGCGCCCTGGGAAATATGCTTCACTCTAGTGCAGGTCCAAGGCTTGTGTTGAGTGTCAAGAGCGTACCAGCTGGTTTGATCCTGCAACCAGCAAGAAAGATAATAAACCGTAATTAGATGAATGATAGCCGATCGACCGATAGAGCCGATGACGTATAGTCGGGACCAGCCGATACGGGCAAACCAAATCGGTTGTGGCTTTATGATAGACAAATAAAGCAAAACCCTAAATATGCCATATCGGCTGTAATACTATCTCTTTTGTTTTTGTCGATTGCCTTAAGACAATATTATAAAAATAGCCAATAGATCAATATTTAGAACAAAGATAGATAATGTACTAGCTAATAATCCAATACAAACTTATATAATAAATCAATCTATATAAACATGTCAAATAGCAATCGATCACCAAATATAGAGTTTACTCGAGATCAATCTAACTTGATATATTTATATAGAGCAATCTATCTATATAAATGGCAAACATACATAAAACAGATCATGAAACATGCATTATCATGCATATTAGGTAAAATCGGCTGAAACCCCGATACTATCCTTAGTTATGATTAATTCTAGGTTAGTTTTTAGGGCTCTAGACAATACTAGGGTTGATGCAACTCAAAGTAAATAAAGAAACCACAAGTCTAAACAATCAAGAAATTAACCACTTTTCACGATGGTAGATACCTTAGCTAATCTAATCTAGTAAAGCGATTTAGCCGATACCGGCATAAACCCTAAAGCGAGAATCAACTGATATGACTAAATTGAGATACTAAAACTAAATTAATTAAGATAATGTGATAACAATGGTCACGATAAAAGGACTAATACATATAAAGCAACATAATAGCCCTGATAGTGCAAGCCATCGAGACAAGTTACCTCTTGTCGAGAGATCGTAGTCGATGCCCTGACTTGAAGCAAAGAACTCATCGAAAAGCAAAAAGAAAAGGGTGGTGATGCACCAAAAGTTGTATTGATTGGATTGTTGTCTCCTATTACAACGATATGGGCTTTATATTTATACCCTCAGTGCAAAACTTGTCCATTCTGGACATGATTCAAACTTTCCTAAAGATAAAATACAAACAAGTCCACATGGCGGACTCTTACCATATCTCTAATTCAATCCGACATTAATATCCTAGTGATGTCCATCATTCGAATTCCCATAGATGATGGTAAAGATTTTCCTCGTCGAGACAAGAAAAAGGATTTTCCTGAACCATGCTTATTAATTCGGGACGAATCTCAAAGCCAGTTGTAAAAATTGGCTCCGATGAAGGAGGTGCTCGTAAGATTCACCCCGCGGAGCAGATAATTGAAAATTGATGATGGCTCCATTGGTCGAGAAGGTTTTACAGGAATTCTTCTCTCGGATAGCAGGGGTTAAGGTAGAAGAAAAAAAATAAAAAAGGATATGAGGATGAACAAGGCTCAGAGATAAATAGCAACCGTTCCCCGGCAACGGCGCCAGAATTGCTTGTTGGTATTTCTTAACCTTACAGATAAAATTCGCAAGCGCACGGAGACCCTTGGCTACCGATTCCAAGAGTGTAGCATCATTGCGCCGAGTATCATGCTCCTCCTGTGGTTGCATCGTAGAACAAAAGTGGAGCCAATAGGAAGACATGAAGATAATCTACATAGGGTCAGATAATTGTTTACCATTAAAAATATTATCATTACGACAACGCCAAATTAACCAACACATACAATACTAGTTCCAAATAGAATCATCTTTTTAATGGACGTAGATACCCCTCTAAGCTAATTACCAAAAATATTTTTGGTGTTACGGGGTGGAGGAATGTTAAAAGCAAAAAAACACACATCTCCAAACAAATTGAGCAACATGACACTCAAAGAAAAGATGTTGGATTGTCTTTTATGCATAGCAGAAAGAATAGTGCTTGTCCCCCTCCCTAAACAAATTTTCTTTTAGTCAGGTTATCTTTCGATAGAATTATTTTCTTGTGAAAAAACCACATAAAGACCTTGATCTTTAGTGGAACCTTGAAGTCCCATAGAATTCTCTTTTGGATCCGAACATTAGAGTTCATGATCGTGGTATACATAGAGTTGACTGAAAATTGGCCATTCTTATGTAGCGACCATACAAAACAGTCCTTTTCATTTGACAGAGTTATATTAGAAAGCCTGGGGATCAAATCGTTTCACTCGATTAGATTTTAACCAACAATGGCTCTCCTAAAAGAAATATCCTGCGACATTGTGCCCATAACCTCTGCCACGGTAGACTGCTTCTTTCGAGCTACATTATATAAAGTAGGGTATTGAACTTCGAGAGCACGCGATTCCAACCACGTGTCTTCCCAAAGTCTTATATCTGTCCCATTGCATTATCTAAAAGACCCAAATCTAAGAAATTGGTCTTTAACTTTCATTAAACCGGCCCAGAACTAAGAAATACCTATCTTGCTGGACATACCAGAGAATGATTTACCATTTAAGTCTTTATTTTGCAAAAGGTCTTGCCATACGCCTTCACCATTAAGCAACTAGAAAATCCAATTGCTTAATAAGTAGCTAATTTTGATATCAATGTTATGGACACATAGTCCACCTTGATGTTTTGGTCGACATATGTTTTCCCACTTAGTTAGTCTATATTTTTCTTTTCCGGTCATCATTACTCCAAAAGAAAGTGACATAAAGAAATATAATCTTTAAAACACACCTAGTGGAATTTCAAAGAAAGATAACATAAACAGAGAAAGGCTCGAAATAACTGAGTTTAGAAGGACCAATCTCCCACCGTATGATATGTTTTTGCCCTTTCATGTGCTGAGTTTTCTCTCAAATCTATCTTTAACTCCTTTCCAATCAACATTCCGGAGTTTTCGATAATGAATAGGAAAACCAAGATATTTAAAGGGGAAAGATCTAGAATTACAACAAAATAGTTGTCTATATTGATCCTCCACTTCCTTGGCCTCCCCAAAGCAAAAAATCTCACTTTTATGAAAGTTTATTTTCAGCTCTAAGAGTTGTTCGAACACATACGGGATGACCTTCATGTTTTTTGGCCTGTTCAAGGTCATGATCTAGAAAAAATATTGTATCATTGGCATATTGTAGAATGGACAAACCATCCTCCACTAAATGTGGAATGAGTCCTCGAATTTGACCGTCGACTTTAGCTCTCTCAATGAGAACCGCTAACATATCAACCACAATATTTAAAAGTATAGGTGACATTGGATCCCTTGTCGCAGGGCTATGTGCGTTTCAAATTTATTACCCAAATCATCATTGACTTTTATACGGACACTTCCCTCTTCAACCATTCTAGAAATCCAGTGACACCACTGCTGAGAAAATCCCTTCATGCGTAGTGTTATTTTCAGAAAATTTGAATTGTAGTGAAGTCATTTTGGACCATTTTAGCATGAAGCTGCCTAACCATCTTTGAAACACGCAACACAAGTTTCTTGCTCCTGTTCTGGTTTTGGGCCACATGATCAGGGTTTCCATTGGCTAATAACAACAGGGGAAAAAACAAATCCATTCAGTCAGGCATATACATGACAAAGCACAAGTCACACATCGATAAAAAAAATCCAATCAAGAAAATCGAAAATCCCAAGGAAAGGAGAAAAAGGAACAGAAAACGTGAAGGAGATACATCCATCTATGTGTCTCTCTTCTCATCCCGTTCTCGAGATCAAAGGCATGGAAAAAAGAGACAGTCAACTCGTCTAGATCAAAGGCATTGAAAAAGAAACAATCA